CGGGTCATCACCAAGATCAAAACCATTGGCAGCACCTACATGGCAGCTTCAGGAGTCACCCCAGATGTCAACACCAATGGCTTCACCAGCTCCAGCAAGGTAGTTCACCACTGGAGTGGCCAGAGGGAGGAGAAGACGCTTGCTCTGCCTGAGGGGGACTGGCAGTCCAGACCCAGCATGTGGGAAATGAGACGTTGTAAGAGTAAAGAAGTTGAGGGCTGTTGTGCAGAGGGGTCACAGACACACACCACCAGCACCCTGTCAGTAACTAGAAACATTACAAAAGTTGAGCGAGCAGAGAATAGAACAGACAGAATTCCACCGTTCAGGCCGATAATGGTTCATGCACACTGCACTGCAGCCAGGCCCCCTTAAGGCTCTCTGCTTTAAGAACCAGGCAGCAGGAGCCATCCATGCAATTGTGCCACAATGGAAACAGAGGTGAACCTTCTGAATTCTCTGGCTGATATGCCTATTCTGCTGAACAAACTTTAGACCTGTGGAGCCAGCTGTTTAGCTACCAGGAAAGGACACGAGGCCAGAAGCCCTGCCCAAGTGAAAACTTCATCCTGTTTTCCCTTTCCAACTGTCCCAGGATGTCAGCACTACTGCTGTCTCTACCATATGGATGAGGTTAAAGAAACATGTCCAAGGCAGGTCATCCCCCTCAGGTTGTTGCTACCCAGTTGAGGAATCCAACCAAGAACAACCTGACAAAATCTAATGATCACGCTCAGACAGGTGAAGAGACCTGCCTCACGACCAGATGCATGCAGACAGGAGGCAACTGAGGGAGCGAACTTGTCTTCCCCGCCAGTGTGGCCCAGTCTTTGCCCTCAACTTGGGAGAGGGACCCATGTGAACTCTGTCACAGTGACAAGTCAGAGCTAAAAAAAAAAGGTTGCTGACTCCTTTGTGGGAAGAAGGATGTGAGGCCTTGAACAACTAGGTGAAGGGATCCACCCCAGAACATCGCTGGGGAAGGAAGCAGGTGAGCAGGCTGCTGTGGATGCATGCCTGGATGGCTGCTGACGCTTCCTCTGCTGTCCTCTGGCATAGGAGGACAAGTCCGATAAGGAGCGCTGGCAGCACCTGGCCGACCTGGCCGACTTTGCACTAGCTATGAAGGACACGCTTACGAACATCAACAACCAATCCTTCAACAACTTCATGCTGCGCATAGGTGAGGCTGTAGACTTGCCCGCCCCGTGACGTGCTCCCTTCTGACGCAGGGACCTAGCACATCAACAGGAAAGACAGGAGGGTTAGGGAGACCAGAGGCATCGGGCTGGGGAGGTTGACACACAGAGCTGGAAGGGACCTGAAGGGCCTTTAGTCCAGTCTCTTTTTGGTGATCAAACTGAACATCCAACTGATGAAATGGTCGAGCTGTACCTATCCTTACTGTTTAGTCAGGAAGCCTGGCCTTCCTTCTGAATCCAGCTGAGAAGTCAGTTTGTTACTCTCCTTTCAAGGGTATTCTGTGCCTGCTAAGGGCTTTGAAAGGAGTTAATGTCACCTGCTACCCCCTACTGAAGAGGAGTCTCATTCCTTCTAGGTGAGGCTGCAGCATACTTGAGAAGCCGGCTACTACCATACTGAGCAAATTAACGTATGGGGGGTAACTGACATTTGCTAGGCACATGGAAAGGACAGGATAAATAGGAGACATGATTTTTGTCTGACAGTAGTAGTAGCATACAGACAAGTTTAACAAGGAACACATGTTATATAATTAGGAGTTTTGTGGCAGGGGCCAGGTGACAAATCGTGTAAAAGAGGAGTTGGTTTCTGAGAGGCTAAAGACAACGTTTGGTGTGTGGCTGTGGTGAACTCTAGTGCTTCCACCCAGGCATGAATAAAGGAGGAGTTCTGGCTGGGGTCATTGGAGCCCGGAAACCACACTATGACATCTGGGGCAACACAGTTAACGTGGCCAGCAGGATGGAGTCCACAGGGGTCATGGGCAACATTCAGGTACGTCCAACAGAGCTGAGCCCTTGCTCAGATTCAGGGAATGGGAGCAAAATCGGCATAGTGCTTTGTCACACAAGATTGCCCCTTCCCCAGCCCAGACGAGTAAGTCAGCAGTGCTGTGAGGTTAAGAGCACGCATGGGAGGAGGGTCTCCAGCTAGTCTCGACAGAAGGGAGACAAGCTCCCACCCATTTGCACTGATGAGACTCGAGTTCTGGGTGAGTGCAGCCTGCCCCTGGGCATGAGCTTCCTGACATCCTGTGATGTTATCAGCTGGGTCTGGCAGACAAGCTCCACAGAAGGGGCAAAGAAACAGAAGAGAGGGAGCAAAAGTTTCCAGACAACAGTGCTGCCACACAGCCAGCCTCTGGCTGTGTTCCTAGGAGAGAGGACTCTGGGAGAGCGCACCCCGCGTTCTGCTGCTCTTACCCCTGCCCGCCAGGGGTGGAACGCAAGGGCATGGCCCTGGAAGGTAGGAGAATGCTAAGGGCTTATCTGGACCCATGCTCAGCTCCAATCCCCAAAGCCCCCACGCCCACCCTCGGTCTAGGCTTACCTTCTAACCCCAGTCTCCTCCTCTGTTCTCTCTACAGGTAGTAGAAGAAACACAAGTCATCCTGCGAGAGTACGGCTTCCGCTTTGTGAGGCGAGGCCCCATCTTTGTGAAAGGGAAGGGGGAGCTGCTGACCTTCTTCTTGAAAGGGCGGGACAAGCCAGCGGCCTTCCCAAATGGCTCCTCTGTTACGCTGCCCCACCAGGTGGTTGACAACTCCTGAATGGTCTCTGGACCCACGCAGTCCACATAGGAAGCGAGAATTTATTCTTTGGAATCGAAGAAAGGCCTTGGGAAAGGACCAAGTACCGAGTCCCAACGTTCCCAAATTGTTGAAGTGCACACTCACATAGACTTTAGGTTTAAAAAATCTCCTCAAGCCTTCACTTGTTCATGGGTCTGTGAGCTCCGAGGGTGGCCATACTCCTCCTCAGTGTGCCTGTAGCATCCCCGAGGAGGGGTCTTAGGTGTAGTGCCGGAACAGTCCTTCCAGAGCCCTCGCTCCAGCCCAGCCCTTCTTGCCCCAGAGAGGCCCTGGCCACTGTGAGCAGGAATGCGGCCGAGTGGGGTCGAAGCTTCCTTTGCCGCTGGGCTGGGAGCACAGGGGGGGAAGCTCTGCTTCGGATGGGGCTGGACAGGGCAGGACACTCCAGCAGACATTCCAGAACTTGAAAGCAGTGCTGTCCATTCTGAAGAGAGCTCAAGCTGGAGACCTAACCAGGCCCAAGTTGGGTGAGATGGCCCTCGTCCTGATAATCTTGAAAGGTTCTTTTAGAACCCCGTCACCTTAGTCATGAGAGCAGAAAGTGCAATACTCCTTTCACCTGGTGGGGGGAGGGGAATTTATTTCTGAAAGAAAAATATATAAACAGATCTTCTCCATTTATATTTTTAACCTTCTGTTAAAAAACTTTCCGATATTGCCTTGCCTTTTGAGCTCTTGCTACAGTCGCCTTTGCTACTGCTTTAAAAGAGAATTTACAGGTGTTAAGAACAAGACTGTTTTATTAAAAGCTTTATTCAACTTGAAAGTGATCACTGTGGAGAGTCTTCATACCTCTTATCTGGGAAGTGCTAAGTGCTTTGCTAACTCATGCCATTCGAATGTCCCCAACATATGCCCAGAAGGCAAGAGCCAAACTAAGGCATCACTTTTCTTCTTGAGCTACTCTCTAGAGGGTGGTCCCTGCAGCTCTCTCATGCCCTCTACTCTTCCCAGAGTTGGTAGAGCTCTCGCACGTGGAGATCACTTCATAACCATGAGGTCTGGGAGTAAAGCCTGAATGCAGCTCTGGGCCTTGGGCAGTAATGGCCCCATCTGTGACTGGCAAGAGAAGAATAGGGCTTGAACGGAGAGAACTTGGCCAGCCAAACACACAGGTTTTCACATCTGTGAACTGACCCACAGACCAAGGAGTAAGAAGTGCCAGCAGACCTGAGGCCCATGGTGCCAGGCAGGAAACAGTGCTCTAAATAAACTAGGAAAAGGGGAAGAAGACTATACGGCCATGACCTCGAGCTGCAAGAGAGGGAAGACATGAAAGTGGGAAGGCCTGCTTTCCTTTGCAACAACTGGGTTTATGGGCAGGTTTCCAACCATACTTTTTGATAGGGGACTTAATACATCCAGTGCTCTATTAAAATGTTGTAGGAAACAAAACATTAGATACACTGAACACTGATTATTTTATCCATAGTGTTTTCTCATACCATATTCTTTATAAAGCAGTGGCCTAGAATACACTGCTCTAAACCTTCTATCATGAACCTGGAGTGCTCTAAGAACTTTTCAAAAGTCTCAGGAAAATGAGGCAGAATTACTTAAAGTTTCCATAAAAGCTAGAAATACTCTTGAGTGGTACACCTCCGCTTTTTCACAAACTCTACTTTTGCCCCACAGACCGTTCTGATTTTCAGCTAAAACATATGACTGGGTCAGTCAATACCCAGAAGAACAGAAAATCTAGAGCATTATAAGAAATTATCAGGGGCCAGGCTCGGTGGCTTAGCCTGCAATCCCAGCACTTTGGGAGGCCGAGGTGAGTGGATTGCCTGAGCCCGCGGGTTCGAGACCCACCCGGGGAACTTGGCGAGACCTCGTCTCTATAATAAATCAAAAATTAGCCCGGTGTGGTAGTGCGCGCCTGCAGCTCCGGCTACTTAGAAGGCTGAGGTAGAAGGATCACCAGAGCCCAGCAGTTCGAGGCTGCGGTGGCCGGGAGCATGCCACTGTACTCCAGGCTGGACAACAGAGTGAGACTCTAACTCTTTTTAAAAAAAAAAAGAGAAATGATCAGATAATCATGGAATTATCCAAAACACCAATGTCTATACTCAAACTTGCTTCTCATCCTAATGAAGAAACAGGTGTCCCCAGGTATGTCTGAGGCTTTTGAAGGTTTTCAGTTCCCAGGACCCTGCCTGGGACTGTCTACAGCACTACTTTATACACTTCTGACACACTCCTATTGAAAATATTTTAGGAGGCAAGGCTCGTATCCAATTCTTCTCCTTTTCTTGCAAATGAAGCAAACACTTGATGGAGGGGCTTTGTACAGAAGAGAGTTTCATGGGATGCTCGTTGTTCTTCCATTGAAGTGGACAATGCTTCTGTGCCTAGAAAAGAAAGATTCTATCAATCTCACTGATATTCTGAACTCATATAACTTTTTTTTTTTTTGGTTTGGCCTAAAAGAGGCTGCCCATTATTGGATCAATGTAATTTTGAATCTGGGGATTTAAATAAGACTGCCCAAAGAAATCTAAAACCTATAGTGTGAAACTTGTGGCAACCTCAAAACTTCTGTCTCCTAAATATATTTTACCCAATGTTTCATTATTGCCATATCACATTATTATGGTATATTTAACTGAAACAGATACACAAAAAAAGTCTCTCAGCCAGTCCTGAAAATTTTCTACTTAGAGAATATTCCATAGAGAGCTACTTGTACACTGATCTGTCATGTCTACTTGGCTTCATAGAGATAAGTCTTTTGGCTCCATTCACCATAAATGTTCCTATGACTCACTCTTATTAGCTGTGTTTCTTCAAGCAGTGTTTCCAATAAAAACAAATCATAAGCTGAAAGAACACTGGCAGTGTTGGGCAGGCAAAGGAGGAAAAACTGGGATAATCATGTTTACTGTTTACAAGGAGGAAAGAAAAGATTGATAGAAACAAAGAAAATATTCTATGTGTTTTACAATCTGAGTACATTTATAGTACATAACAGAACAAAGTATTTTAAGAGGTCCACTTGATATATTTTACCTATATTATCTTTTTCATTCAGCTTGCATAAACTAAGGCACATTAGCATTTCTTCACTGAGGCATTCTTCCTCTTACCTTGATATGTCACAGTGACGTCAGCTGGAAGAGTTGTTGTGAGGTCTTTATACAGCAACCTGGCACAAAATGGGGAAGACTGATCCCTGGGATCCAGTTTGTAAGTAAATGACAGCAAGTTGCACAGTGAGTTTCTCTGTAAGGGCCCAGTCAGAAAGGCTGCAAAGTCACTCTGAGAGGTATGAGAAAACAAAGTAGATAATGACCATAGCTCCAAACATAGCAGTTATGATATTCAAATGTCAAACCAAAAAGAGGGTCCATCAACTAAATCTAAATGAGCAATAAATGAGGGACAGAAAAAGGCCTGAAAAAAGGACTAATGAAAGAGATTCATAAGATAGCTAAAAGTCAGTAGCAGCCTAGAAAGTTCTGCAGGAAGCACTTCCTAAATGGCCAGCGGTGTGGGTGGAAGGGCGATACTATATTGTTTCTGCCAAGAATTTCACTGACGTTACTACATGCAGCTACGATACTTCATGTCTGCATTCACGTATCGATTTACGTTTAACCTGCAACTGGGAGCTTCAGAGTCATTCCAAATACACAGAGGAGGAAACGCCAAGCTTGTAAGAATCACTTATTAGCCGTGCTCAGTGACTCAGCCTATAATCCCACGCTTTGGGAGGCTGAGGTGAGTGGACTGCCTAAGCCCGCGGGTTCGAGACCCACCTGGGCAACTTGGTGAGACCTCATCTCTACAATAAATCAAAAAATTAGCCAGGCGTGGTAGCGCGCGCCTGTAGTTCCAGCTACTCGGAAGGCTGAGGCGGAAGGATCGCCGGAGCCCAGCAAGTCGAGGCTGTGGTGGCTGGGAACATGCCACTGCATTCCCAGTCTGGGCGACAGAGTGAGACTCCAACTCAAAAAAAAAAATCACTTATTGCCTATCTGCAATAATTTCCTGTCTACCTTTTTCACTCCAACCTTAGTTCAACTGCAACCCTAAGAAGGTAGTCAGAGTTTAAGGGAAGATGGATAGCATTCCTCTATAGTTCTTCAGTACTTATTCGTCCTGCTGCGCCTGTACCCACAGTTCAGCAAGGTACTTGGCACATAGTAGTCACTCCATAAATCCTTGTTGAACTGGAAACAGGAGGGGAACCCCCAAAAGACAGGAATTTATTTATTAAAAATTTATGTATTCTTTTTTTTTGAGTTGGAGTCTGACTCTGTTGCCTAGGCTGGAGTGTGGTGGCATGCTCATGGCCACCGCAGTCTCAATCTGCTGGGTTTAGACAGTCCTTCCGCCTCAGCCTTCCAAGTAGCTGGAACTACAGGCATGCGCCTCTACGCCCAGCTAATTTTTTGATTTATTGTAGAGATGAGGTCTCACCAAGTCGCCTGGGCTGGTTTCAAACCCATAAGCTCAGGCAATCCTCTCATCTCGGCTTCCCAAAGTGCTTAGGTGTGAGTCACTGCACCCAGCAAAAAAAAAAAAAAAAAAAAAAGCTATGTATTCTTACATGTTTAAACTTCAGTCACCTTCAAGGCACTCTCCGTTTGATGCAATGTATCTATCAAAACACTTTTTCCATTGCTCAAGACAGTTTTTGAACACATCAATTTTGATGCCTCTTAGTGTTCTTACAGTTTTTGTCTCACCTCTTCCACACTGGCAAAATGCTTCTCTTTGAGGACTTTTTTCATTGGGGAAACGAAAGTTGCTTGGGGTGAGACATGGGCATCATGCCATTTTTGGTCAAAAACTGCTCAACACTCAACGCAGTGTGGGCAGGTGTGTCCTCATGGTGGAAGAACCAGGGACCTGTTTGCCACAACTCACGTTTCTTCTGCAAATTGTGATGCAAGCTTCTCAAAACTCCCAGATAAAAACTTTGGTTGACGGATACAGAAAAACAAATTCCAAGTGTTCTACAAGGAGCCTACCCTCTAAAACACAATTCTGTTTTTTTTGGGGGGGATCCTCCCTCAAGCAACTATACAACCTTGTGATACAAGCTTGAGAACCACTATTCAGGAGTATATATCCTTTAACCAGTGCCCATGCTTCAATATCATTCGGAGTTTCCAAAGGGTAATAAAAGTGAGTGGAAAACAGCTTTTATGTAAATAAGAAACAAGCATTAGAAAGGTAATGTCTAGGCTGGGTGCGGTGGCTCACACCTATAATGCCAGCACTTTGGGAGACCAAGGTGAGAGGATTGCCTGACCCCACGAGCTTAAGACCATCCTGGGCAACTTGGTGAGACCTCATCTCTACAATAAATTTTTTTTAAAAAGTAGCTGGGCATGGTGCCTGTAGTTCCAGCTACTTGGAAGGCTGAGGTGGAAGGATCACCTGAGCCCAGTAGATCGAGGTTATGGCGGCCTCGAGTGTGCCACTGCACTCCAGCCTGGGCTACAGAGTGAGACTCCAACTCAAAAAGAAAGGTATGTCCAACTTCTGACTCAGTATTAGGAAACATTTAAAATACAGAAGAAAATATCCCCCCTTTCCCCTTTTAAGTTTATCCTGGCTCCATAAAATGGGATCTATAACATCCCAGATACCTGAAGTCGATCTGCCTGGTACTTCCTCCCAGAGTAAGCATTTAGATACTCGCAGAGACTGAACAGGAAGTGCTGAATATCAGTCTGTAAGTATTTTGCAGCTATCTCTTCTAGAGGAATGAAGATTGGGACTGAATGTTGATGTATCCAGAGTGGTTTCTGTATGACAAGGTCCACAAAATAGGACTCCAGTAGGTTCCCCTCAAAGGCAGTATTGATGCAGACACAGACTCCTCGGCTGGTCAGTTTAGCACTGATCCCTGAGGCAAACAATAAGAGGATACCTCTCAACAGATGTCAGGCAAAGGTAATATGTTATTCATCTGCACAACCCAATAGCTTCCAGAACACTATGCACACAAACGTTTGTTGAATGAATGAATACCACTGGCTCTTTCTTCCTCTTGACTCTGGCTCACTTTGACATTGAGTTGTTAAAACCATGAAAGAATGGTGAAAAATCAAAAACATCCTAAACACCAAATTAATAAGAAAGAAATTTTGAAAATTTAAATTTATAGCTATCTTCTTTTTTTTTCTGGAGTGTCAAATAATTTGTGACAGTCCCCAGTTCTGCCCACAATCCTCTTATGGTGGAGATGGGAGACTTAATCCCTGCTTATGGTGAAACAGATATTTGAGGGGTTCAAACTATTTGACTAGGGGAATTAAGCAAGCCAGCAGTAAAGGAAATCATTACAGGGTCTGGCACTGGATGAATTGCTAAAATGAACGGTCCAAGTCAGTCACCAACCAATCTTCTGCTGTACAAAGGGGCCAATCTTATAGGCGTGCCTACGAATAGCATGCCAGTTTTGTGTGTGTGTGATGACAATGGGAGTGCAAAATCTCTGAAATAAGTCCAGGACAATAATACAGCTAGCAAACTAACTCACTAGAGACAGACTCAGAATGGAATATGTGTAAAACAACAACAACAACAACAACAAAAAACCACAAAGCAAAACATACATACATACCTGTAAAACGATATGCCTGCAGAGTAGCTTTCACATTTTCCAGTTTCCTTTCCAAAACTTCTTTCCCACTAGTGTCTACTATTTGGTCGGGTTCTACATTGGCAATAGATGCTTTAACCTGTGAGATATGCAGCAAATCAAACTGGGTACAAAGGAGTACATCACAGTTACTGACCTTACCCAGCTGGATAAAAGCTAAATATATTTTATATGATATAGTATATCATGGAATGCTACAGCAAACAACCAATCAGTTAATGCTACGAATTCACAGCAGAGGAAGAATCTTATGGATAAGAGTGCTAGGAATCAGAGGAGAAGCTGTGCTGGCCTGAAGAACAATTTGAATTTTGGTGGGAATGGAAAGGATCGTAAGAAGAGGAAGAGCGGGATGTGAAGAAAGTCTAGGATGAACACATGTTGAGTGAAAGAGGGTGTGCAGAAGCAGGCCGGGCATGGTGATCCAGGTCAGACTTTGCAGGGTTTCAGGTGCCAGAACTCCAAGACTTGGGCTTCCAGCCGTGGCCCAGCAGATGGTATCAGGGTGACCTGCCCTCCAAGAACAACTGGATAAGACCAAAAATAAGTAAGGTGGATAAAAGACCAAAAATAAATAAGCAAGCAAGCACAGAGAGAGAAGATGGTTTGAAGACATTAGAGAACAACCCAAATAGCCAGAAATGAAGAGAAAAGAGAAATGCTCTGAAGTTAGCTGGCTTTCCCTGCAGCATTTGCCCTCAGAGCATTTGCTTATTCATATATACAAGACACACTAGACCAAACTGAAAGCGGTAGGCTGGACTTCAGCACTCTCACTATCTGGGGAGACAAGAATCGGACATCAGTGTTATCAAAGCAACCTTTCTTATGGGCCAATATCCTGCAGAAAAGGGAATCCAGGATTCACTTTGCCCTCCAGGCATTTGCTAATTCCCAAACTGCATATGTGTGACTGGGTACGAGGCACCAAATAGAAAGAAGCTACTAAAAAGTTAAAATGCTAAGCAGAAATTTTGGCAGAACAAAATCTGGGAGTTTAGGGCATGCCAAGAAAGAGGAGCCTTGACAGACCTGCCCCTAACACACACCCAAACTTTCAATCGAAAGCCTTAAAAAAACCTACACCCTAGGAGTAAGGGCAAGCCAGAAACAGACCGCCTCAACTGGACTGAGGTGATATGCCAATACACTATTTGCCTGCCAGAAAAAAACTAAAATTCTTTATGGAGTAAGGTAACATAACTCAAAAACCCTACTTTTTTTCACACATAATACCTATCAATGAATCAAAAAAAGTACAAGGCACACCAGGAAAGAGAAACAGATGACTAAAAACCCAGAGAAAAAAGAAGACAATAGGAAAAGCTTAAAGAAATTCAGCTATTTGAATTACTAGGCATAGCAATTAAAACAGGTAAAAAGATGAAGAACTCACATGAAAAAGCTGGAATCTATAAAAAAGAATCAGATGGAAATCCTAGAATCAAAAAATATAGTAAGTAAAATTAGATTTTAATAGTTTAAAAGCCAACTAGGCAAGATTTTAAGTAAAGCAAAAAATGGGTATATTTTCATATCCAGATGAAAGTACATAGAGAAAAAATAAGACTAGAAAATTAGTAAAGACATAGGTTATAGGGAAAAAAACACACGAATAGGAGCCCCAGAAATAGGAGGGAAATGAGGTAGATGCACTATTCGAAGAGATATGGCCAATTTTCCAAAATATATTAAAAACATCAAATAATTAAGGAAGCTATGCAAACACCAAGTGAGATAAGGAAAGAAAGCATGCTTAGCCACATTATGATATAAAATTGCTGAAAACCTATATTCAAACAATAAGACTAACATCTAATTAATAAGACTAACACCTAGCAGACACTATGGCCCTAGGACACAACAGAATAATACCTGACAATCTGAAAGTTAACTTCTAGTTTATAACTCTAAACTCAGCAAAAAATTCTTAAAAAATAAAAAATATAATGAAATAAAGATGTTTGTAGACAAACAAAAAGAGAATTTACTGTCAGCAGACTTATACTAAAAGAAGTACCAAAAGGAGCTACTTAACCGAAGGAAAATAATGCTAGATAGAAATATGAAAATGCAGAAAGCAACAAAGAACACTGAAAAGGGTAAATATGTATATAGCGCTAAAAGAAAACTGACTGTAAAAACAAGACAGACAATAAAATGACACTATGGTAGATTGAGATCCAAATATATCTGTGATCACATTAAAAGTTAATGGGATAAATATTCCAATGAGAAGACAACAATTGCCAGGCTGGATTAAAAACATCTAACTATATGCTACTTAGAAGAGGAACACCTTAAATATAAGGTCATTGAAAGATGGAAAGTAGAAAGACAGAAAAAACTTACCCTGTAGGCCTTAAACAAAAAACATTGCTGCTGTACTAGAATTTGTCAAAGTAGACTTTAAAGCAAGAAATGTGATTAACAATAAAAGAAGACACTTCATGGTAATAAAAAGTTAACTAAACCAGGAAGATACTGTAATCCTAAATCTGTCTGCACCCAACATATACAATGTATACCAGAAACACAGACTAAAAGGGGGAAAAAAAAGTCTACAATCACAGTAAGAGATTTGAACAAATCTTAACCAAACAAGTAGGCAAGTTAATCAGTAAGGATACAAGATATGTTAAAATGATGAACACACTTGGCTTATTTGATATATACATATATATAGAATACAGTACTCAACAAATGCAAAATTCCATTTAAGGCACATGGAACATTTACCAAAACTGGCTGGGTCACATTCTTTGACCACATGGAATTAAGCTATAGAAAAGTAACTCTAAAAAAAATAACTAGCCGGGCTCGGTGGCTCAGACTGTAATCCCGCGCCTTTGGGAGGCTGAGGTGAGTGGATTGCCTGAGCCCGCGGGTTCGAGACCCGCCTGGGCAACTTGGTGAGACCTCATCTCTACAATAAATCAAAATGAGCCAGGCATGGTAGCGTGTGCCTGTAGTTCCAGCTACTTGGAAGGCTGAGGCAGAAGGATCACCAGAGCCCAGCAGGTCGAGGCTGCGGTGGCCGGGAGTGGCCACTGCACTCCAGTCTGGGTGACAGGGTGAGACTCCAACTCAAAAAAAA